TCATCATCATCATTATTATTATTAACATCATTATGTTTCGTTGACGCTGGCAGGAAATACCGTAGGCTTAGGGAGGGCTACTACCTGTTTATTTTTCTAGTTTGTTGCTTATCTGGCTGGCTGCTAACTGTTGCTACATATAGATTCCCTGATATGTTATTATACTTGGGTTTCTTGCTGACATGTAAATGTCCGAGCCTGGAAGATATATGTTTTTATAGAGATGATGCGGCGTATTTGTGTTGCCGTGTAGACTGGAAACCACTTAAATATGGTCGCTTGAGATTGTAATGCAGASKCCAATCTAACTTGACATCCCATAATTTCCCGGTTTKAATTGGAAATCAATTTGGAGATGTTACAAAGAAAAGGAAAATCGGTCCATAACTCATAGTACAGCCTGGGTAGGCGTTGGCATTATGATTTATTCTTTCTTTGGGCGTGGTACCCATCATCACCTCGCCGTTAGCACTGCCAGCCAGATGACTGCAGAATTCTGTGAAAATATTGTCAGCGGTATTTTTCACTGACGCATGCGTTCTACCTCATCAGGACGGCCCCCGCCCAGGCCTAGAACACCAGCGGACGATGGTGATGATGGGGAACCTGGAGACGATAAAGATGAAGATGGTGGTGACGATGACTAAATATGGTCATTACGGCATCAGTCGCTTTTCCAATTTAAACGAATCTAATGTGAAGCAAAGTCGGTGAAAAGGACAGCGACCTACGCTCATTCCCTTATGGCGTACTTTTAATTGTGACTTTTGAAATGAATACCGCCAGAAAGCATCGGTAGTTCTTCCTTAGAAACATCATAACATTCAAAATGGCGATTCTTGAGCGATGGACTAGGGGAAAAAATTCCCTCCGCGTGTCGTTCAACATTGATGCAATCTTTATAAGATATGAAAAAAATACCTTTTCCATCTCAAGAAAAAAAGCAAAACTTCAAAAGGAAAAAAGTTATGAAAATAACCCCTCAAAAAGTGGTTTGTAAGTCGATTTTACCAAATAGTGTTTGCAAAAAATGTTTAAAAAAATGTTAATATATACGTTCCTATTCAAAACTATATGATCAGAWTAAATTGCCATGGTATAACTCATCAGCATTTATTATTTATCATTGGAATAGCATACAATAATGACAGACAATTCTAATTAAATCGATTGATGTAGATCTAAATTAAAGTGCCTATGACGCCTAAAAATAATTTCTAATTCTGTGTGAACTGATTCTATATAAAGTAAATATTTGAATGGTTCAATCTTGTAATATGTTCATGAAAATGACGTTAAAGAAGGCTTTTTTATTAGATATACGAACTCGATTAGTGTAGATCTAAATTAAAA